AAAAAAAAAAAGCAAAATTGCTTTTATGAAAATGCAAAAAGATTAATTTTAAAATTACCCAAGTAATACAAGAACACAATCTTTTTGTAAGGTACAACATGGGCATTTTTAAAGTGAAGCAATTCTTGGAGACAGACTAGTTTATAGCCTGCTCGGATTCACAATAAAAAAAATATATATTTGTTGAGTGCTAAGGCAGAGCAGGAAGGCATGAGAAGTGTGTGGGTGGCATTCCAGCGACGGTCCCCTCTCTGGTGTCTCCACAGGGAGAGAACTTCTTCTTCCCTTTTTCCCTTCTTCTTCCCTTCTTCCCTTCTTCTCTCCAGGGAAGGGGTGGGATTCACAGGCGTAGATTATCCAAGAGCACTGGCTGATCTTGCACCGGGAAGGACCCCTCTATATTTCCTCCACAAGGCGCATGCTGAGCCGGGAGCAGAGACCCTGACATTTCGGTTTGCTGGCTAGCCCCCCTGATGTGCAGGCTGGCTTGCTGGTTGGCTTTTCGAAATATAATAAATATTTCGAAATACTAATAAATATTTCGAAATACTAATAAATAAAAACTATTTGAGGACCCCCAGCACTCTCATTGTGAATTCCCAGCAGCCCAGGAACTGCAAATGAAGAGCTGTTTAGGAAAGCAAATACCCCTATTAAGTTCAGATGTGGATTTCATGCCAAGTGCCTGAGGGTGTCAGGATGGTTCAAGCATCACACAGTACCCCGGGAGGGGCTGGCGAGGGTAGCCTCTTCCTCAGCTCCTGGATGGGGAAGAACTCGGAGATCCATGCAGCTAGCTAGCACAGACCCGTCTCCTTGTACCCTACATTCACCTCCTCAGCACTTCTGGACCCCAGCCGGGTGCTGCAGGAGCCTGTAGCCCCTTGAACCAGGGAGAACGAAGGTTGGAGGCGGGAGCCAAGATTAAGGCATTTGGATGTGAAAGGCTGCTCCGGAAAGTTGAGGAAAAAGTTTACATTTCATTCCTACCAATCAGCATGGGGAACAGCCCACGGGGGAATAAGAGTGATGGGGCGGGGATTGATTGGAATTGGTGCTGAGTGAAGGCTCCAGAAAGGAAGGTCAGCAAGACACCACAGCCACAGCTTGCTCAGAAGAGCCAAAGGGTGCCTCCCTCTGAAAAACCTTGAGGGCACCCCCCCTACATCTGTTTGGGCCTGGTCCCACCCTGGCCCCACAATGACCTCTCCAGATGGGAAAACCAGGGTCACTAATTTCTCTTCCAACAGGCCAGGTGGGGATGGAATTTAGGCACACCCCCATGGGGTGCTTTTAGGCCTGGTTCTGGACTATATTGCCCCAGGGGTTTTCTCCCTTGACTTGTATCATTTCCTTTTCAGAGCCAATCATTAACCCAAGAGACTCAACCTGAGAAACCAGAGAAACCAGCGGCTGGTTGATGCTGGAAATGCTGCCGTGGTTTCGCCAGAGGGGCTGAGTCTCCAGTCATGCTCCTGCCAGGGTTGCAAGGCAGTAACCTGGTGTGACCCAGCCTCTGGAGCTGACTCCCACACCCTCTGCTGGACAGGCGGGATTGCAGGGTCCCGGATGAGGAAGCAGCCCCTTTGCTTCTGGGCAGTGCTATACTCTGGGGGTGGAGCGCACTGGGCAGATGGCTGGGGAAAACAGCTTGCAGCAACACAGGGGACGGTGCAGAGTGGATAGCCTCAGTTCCGCATCTGCCCCAGACTATGAGACACCAGCTGTGTGACAGGCCCTGCTCTGGGCAGTAGGCCCTCACCTTTTTTCTCTGGGCCTGAGATCAGCCTGGATTCTTTGGCTTAACTTCCCAGCCCCCAGTTAAGCAACTGGGACAGAACACCCCTAACCCATCTGTGAGGTGCCACTCTCAGTCTGGCCTCCTGGAGGGGAGGAATAGAAAGCAGCCACCCGCGAGGCCTTTGGGGACAGGGATCTGTCCCTGGGCCCCTGATGCTGAGTAGCCAGGACTCGCCTGGAGAACCAAAGTCAGGGGCCTCTGATGGGCCCGGGGGTGGGGGG